TCGCCGCCGTCTTCATGGCGTCTCAGCCTCGATACATTCCGCCGTCTCCCTTCTTCTTCGCCGTTGCCCTCCGCTCCTACTCGCTTATCCCGTTATTTCCGTACTCCGAGTCAGTTTTCTTCTTCTTCGTTCCTAAATTCCCCTGAATCTTCGTTTCCACATTTCGTGTTTATGTGTATAATTGGTATGCTGTTCGTGTTTTACATGATTCATGTCACTCTAATTGATTCAGAATTTAACCCTACACGAACTTTCTCGCAATTACAAAAGCTAGAGCTATTTTCTATGCAAAAACCTCTGTTTTTATTCTGTTGATTCAAAGTGATCAAGCGTTTTAGAAATCTTAGGTTTTTGTACTGGGAAATTCGATGAATATCATGTTCTCTCTTTTCTATATACGTCAGATTCTAAGTGAATCTGGGAATCTTACCTTTGTTGCTTAAGCAATAGTGATGAATCAGAATCTTGCTTTATTGGGGGACGGAAGAATCATATTCTGCTGAGGTTTTACGCACTGTATAGATTGATGGGAAATGATAAAACATCAAGGATTAGATCATTCATACATATTCTGAATCATCAGTAATTAGGTACATAATCTTGAACATGGGTTTTTTCACTCTTCTTTGTCGTCGAAAATCAGAAAAGGAACGTAAAGTCTCTGAGTATTACAAGAAGCAAGAGAAGCTCCTTGAAGGTTTCAATGAAATGGAGACAATTAACGATACTGGTTTTGTATCTGGAGCTCCAACCGAGGTTCGACTATTGCTTCCACTACTCTAATTCTGGATTCTCTCTCACTGTGATTTCGTCCATTTTTCATAGCATCTTGTTGATTTCAACAGGAAGAACTGAAGAAGCTTGCAAAGAGCGAGAGGCTTGCAGTTCACATCTCAAACGCAGCAAACCTTGTGCTTTTTGTAGCAAAGGTTTATGCTTCTGTAGAGAGTAGATCTATGGCTGTGATTGCTTCAACTTTGGACTCTCTCTTAGATCTCTTATCTGGATTTATTCTTTGGTTTACTGCAAATGCCATGAGGAAACCAAACCAGTTTCATTATCCAATCGGAAAACGACGGATGCAACCTGTGGTATATAGTCTCTGCAATTCTCCAATTGCTTTCCATTTAAAACTCATGAAACTAAAAAGTCATGGTGTTTTCAATTGGCAGGGAATCATTGTGTTTGCATCCGTGATGGCAACTCTTGGGCTACAGGTGTTGCTAGAGTCAGCCAGGCTACTTGTTTCCAAGGTACAACTCGGGTCTTCAACATTTGATTGTTTCTCAAAAACTTAACAGTGAGCATCACCAGTTATATGATGTAATGTTTCTCCTTGTATAGCACGGTCCTCATATGAACAGCACCGAGGAAAAATGGATGATTGGAATAATGGTTGCTGCTACAGTAGTCAAGTTTCTGCTCATGCTTTACTGCAGAAGTTTTCAGAACGAAATCGTCAAAGCCTATGCACAAGATCACTTCTTCGACGTTGTCACTAATTCAGTCGGTTTAGCAACAGCCGTATTAGCTGTAAAATTCTACTGGTGGATTGATCCCTCTGGTGCTATTCTTGTAAGTAAATCATCAACCTTCAACATTCTTGAAATGTCTCTTGTGAATTATGATATTGAAGTGTTTGATTGAGAAAACGTTTCTTGTTTATGGTTTTTAGATTGCTCTCTACACAATCAGCACATGGGCAAGAACGGTTCTAGAGAATGTTCACTCGCTGATTGGACGCTCTGCGCCACCTGATTTCTTGGCGAAACTAACGTTCTTGATATGGAACCATCACGAGAAAATCAAACACATAGACACAGTGAGAGCCTACACGTTTGGGTCACACTACTTTGTTGAAGTCGACATTGTTTTACCCGAGGACATGAGGCTACACGAAGCTCACAACATAGGAGAAACTCTTCAGGAGAAGCTCGAGCAACTCTCTGAGGTCGAGAGAGCTTTCGTCCATATTGACTTTGAGTTCACTCATCGTCCTGAACACAAGTGCAAGGTTTGAATGTCAAAACATGCTCTAATTAAATGTGACCAGAGTAGATAAATTAAGCTACTACTAGTGTTGGTTTCTATGGAATTTTTGTGTTCGTTTCTGTTCTTCTTTTTCAAATCGAATTCGACAATAGAAACAAAAAACTCTAAAACCAAACATGAGCGAGTGTGACTTTCGAAAACAAATGGAAAAATGCTATGGGTCTAATGCTACGGCCAATTAAAATTTACCTGGAAATATTATAGGCCCAAAGGTTATATGCTCATTGATGCGTATTTCGATTATACTATAGGCCCAATATTACGGCCCATGTTGATAGTTTGACCTACGTGTTCTTTAGGGTTTCGTGTAACCTAGTATCTTCTTCGCTATATAAGCCGCCTTTACCACAGATTCACACATTGACCAAGAACGCTTCACCGTTGTTACAGATTTCTTCTCTTTTCGAGTCTTTTACAACTTTCTGGTTTAGGTTTTCTTTAGATCCGGTCCTATGATGTTTGAGATTGTCCGTACCATCTGAGGTTTCTCGTTGATGAATCGTATGCTCTATTGTCTGAGGCTTTGGATCTC